CTCACTTCGAGCCTGCCGGCAAGGGGCGTTTAGCTACTGCGGGTGGTGACAATAACGTGAGACTTTGGCAGGTTGATTCTGACGGACCTGAACGGAGGGTAGACTATCTCTCTACCCTCTCCAAACATAACCAAGCTGTCAATGTTGTCCGATGGGCTCCCAAGGGTAGGTTTCCAGCACCCTAGCCAAATCATCCATCACTTCAGCTAACCTCCGTTGCAGGCGAGATTCTAGCTTCGGCCGGCGACGATGGCAACGTGATCATTTGGGTTCCAAGCGATACACCCCCTTCGAACTTTGGAAACGAGGTCCTAGAGGACAAGGAATCATGGAGAGCCAAGCACATGTGTCGCTCTAGCGGAGCTGAGATCTACGATCTCGCCTGGTCCCCTGATGGACAATACTTCATCATCGGCAGCATGGACAACATTGCTCGAATCTACAATGCCAATTCAGGTGAGCACACCATCCACTCCTTTGGGCCCAGATCTCTTTTCTAATGATCTACAGGTACCTTGGTTCGACAAATTGCCGAGCACAGCCATTACGTCCAAGGCGTAGCATGGGACCCTCTGAACGAATATATAGCAACCCAGTCCTCAGACCGATCTGTTCATATCTACTCTCTCAAGACCAAGGATGGCCAGTACACGCTTGGTTCGGATGACAAGGCTCCCAGACTTGCCAGCCACATCAAGGTAGATCTGCCACCACGCCGAATCTCCTCCAGCAGCCCTGCACCTCCGGATTTTGGTCATCGTGCCCAGCTGGCTATTCTCGAGCCCGCTCCATCTATTGGGTCCCCTGTGCCTTCTACACCCGGCACACCTACTTCCTCCGCGTTGCCGATGAACCCGCCGAGTGTTGTCAGTCACAGTCGTCGATCTTCATTCTCTTCTCGTCGGTCTGTCTCTCCCGCGCCGTCAATGCCCTTGCCCGCGGTCATGCCGATGGAAGCCTCACCAAAGCCTCATACTGTGGCCGCAAGTGTAGGCTTGGGGATGAAGAATGCAAACTTGTATGCTAATGAAACACTCACGTCATTCTTCCGCCGGCTTTCTTTTACTCCTGACGGAAGCCTTCTGCTCACCCCGTCTGGCCAGTATCAAAATCAGCATTCCGGGGAGAGGGACGCTAAACCAACCACTGAAGTCATCAACACGGTTTACATATACACCAGGGGAGGGATCAACAAACCACCAGTGGCACACCTGCCTGGGCATAAAAAGCCCTCTGTGGTTGTGAAATGCTCGCCAATCATTTATACGCTAAGACAAGTTGCACCCGCGACCAAGCACATCACAATCGACACATCCTCCTCTGAGGATGCCATCCCAGCGCTTCCTGAGCCCATCTCCAAGGATTCTCCTGGTAGCTCTATCATGGAGCCTCCACCTCCTCCAACTACCACAGGCTCCGAAGCTGGGTCAACAGCCAGCAAGTCTGAGGCTGGGCTGCCCTCGTCTGGACCCAAGCCTGCGTTCAGCTTAAACTACCGTATTGTCTATGCTGTGGCAACACAAGATTCAGTTCTGCTTTATGACACGCAGCAGAAGACCCCAATCTGTGTCGTGAGCAATTTACACTGCGCCACATTTACCGATCTAGCATGGTAAGAGCCAAATTGATGGCCGCAGTCCCTTCTTGACGTTTGTATGATCTAACCAATGCCGATAGGTCATCTGATGGACTTACCCTTATGATCTCTTCTTCGGACGGGTTCTGTTCAACCCTCTCGTTTCAACCTGGTGAGTTGGGTGAAGTATATAAAGGCGAGTTAGGCCCGCCAAAGTCGTCAGCATCGACTTCCAACCCAAGTGTGTTGAGCCAGAACCCGCCGACACCAACGCCAACAACCCAGTTTGCTCCTCCATCACCATTCCCTCCCGGGTCTCAGCATTCGCACCACCAGCATCGTAACTCGGCCACATCCTTCACCGCACCATCCCCACCAGGGTCAACGTCGTCGTTCAATATGCAACGTCCCCACTCCCCTGCGAGGTCCAATTCCACCTCGTCCATAGCAACCCAGTCATCGACAGTTCCCACAAGCGTCGTCAGCAACCCACCACTTATCGGCGGCAGTGTTCCTGGGCTCACAGCGACCAGCTCGGGCAAGGTGACGGGCGTGCCAATCACAACACCGCCTGAAACACCAAGAAGTGTGAGCGGCGGTGTCAAACGGGAGGCCAGTGAAAGCGAGAAGGAAGACGGCAAGGAGCCAAAGAAGAGGCGGATAGCGCCAACATTAATTGATTCCAAGCCAACCTAAACTCGGCCTGCTTGCTACCTGCAGGAAATAGCCAAGGATGGCGACATTATTATTTATGCGACAAGGGGGCGACCGGGTAAGTTATGGCGGGCATGTGGGAGCAAAGTATACATTTTCGGCGGTTGTAAGGCGCAGGCATGGAATTGGCGTTTGACGGTAACACAAGGAAGTCATCAAAGAGACTATATATAAGGAAAACGGACGGCTGGGCTGCGTAAATGATGGGCGTTTTTCTATCGAGGTGATTTAATACACGCGCAAGCTCGCGTTAGCTAGGAATTGATGGAATATTTTATTCCTTGCCTAGGACAAGCAACCAGATGTGAATGGCTGGATGGATGGGGACGGGCTACGGTCATAAATCCGAGGTTCCATATGGGTGGATTGCAGGCTGCCGAAATGGCCATGATTGGTGTGGCAAAAGACTGACGAGCATTAATCATCCCCAGGTCCCTCGTTAGCCGGGTGTACTCCCGTCGGCTCCAGCACTGAAGAATCACGGGTTGGAGACCGGTGGAGCTGACATGCCGAGGCAAATGCGAGCCGGACAATGAGCGGCGTCCAGTCTCTCCCCACCCGCCACTCAGGGAAAATCTGGGAGAGCACTGATCAGTCTCCCCCGGCGACTCCACTCGATCTCGCTTGATCCAGCCTGGGCCAATTTCAACACCAACCCTCCTCCACCACCTCCGCCAACGTCTGCCATTAACCATAGTCGACCCTTCCAGCAGACCATCCCGCCAGGCTTGCGACCTCTTGTAACTTCGATGCGATAGACTCCGGGCCCAGCAACTACTGTCTGTCTCCTTTCTCGGCCTCGCCTGGCCTCGTCGGCAACAGCGAGGGCCTCAATCCCTGCCTCCTGCGCAGCGCAACCAGCGTCGGTCGCCGCCTTCTCCACACGAGATTGAACTTGCCTTGTGCTCCTCGACTGTATTAATATGGCGTCCCCCCCCAAACCCTGGGAGAGAGCTGGCGCTGGCGCCACAGCTGGTATGGTATCCCATCACCCATGTTATCACCGTTTCTTGTCGCTAACGCGAATCCGACAGCGTCCCCTACTGCCACAGCCTCCGCCCCTTCAATCGCAACTTCACCGACCGCGTCCACCACCTCAACTGCGCCCCCTCTTCCCGACCGACCTGCCTCCCTCTCCAGTACCGTGAACCAAAACGCGGCCGCCTACTCCAGGATGAACACTTCCCCCTACTCTTCATATGGCGGCGCATACTCTTCCCCATACTCATCCATGGGGAGCCCATATTCGAGATTCGGGGGCTATGGCGGCGGCTACGGCGGTGGCATGTATGGCGGAGGCATGTACGGGGGCGGTATGTACGGAGGTGGCATGTATGGAGGGATGGGCGGCATGCCCGGTGGTCCCAATGACCCAAACAGCCTGACCAACAGCTTCAGCAACAGTACGGCCGCCACTTTCCAGATGCTGGAAGGCATTGTCTCTACATTTGGCGGGTTTGCCCAGATGCTGGAGAGCACATATATGGCTACACATTCAAGCTTCTTTGGTATGTTCTCCTCCACCTTGAGCCATTGTTATTCCCTCTCTATGCCGCACATGTTTCTAACAAGATGAATAGCAATGGTGTCTGTTGCCGAGCAGTTCAGCCACCTGCGTGACACTCTAGGATCAATTCTCGGAATCTTCACACTCATGCGTTGGATCCGTACCCTTCTCGCCAAACTCACGGGTCGACCGCCCCCAGCTGATGCCACTGCTCTCACCCCAGCAGCATTTGCTCGCTTCGAAGGCCGTGCCTCCGGCGCTGCTGATGGTTCCGGTGCCACCCAACGTGCTAGCAGGAAGCCCCTCCTGTTTTTCATCGCCGCAGCCTTTGGCCTACCATATCTCATGTCCAAGTTGATCAGGGCTCTGGCTACATCACATGAGGAAGAGCAACAACGTCTTCAGCAACAAGCTCTACAGCAGCAGCAGCCCATCGACCCGTCCAAGCTCGAATTCTGCCGCCTTCTGTTCGACTTCCTGCCCCAGCCCAACACTGGTGTCGAGCTTGAAGTTCGCAAGGGTGATCTAGTCGCTGTTCTGAGCAAGAATGACCCAACCGGAAACCCCAGCGATTGGTGGCAGTGTCGGTCGCGCGATGGCCGCCAGGGCTATGTCCCCTCCACCTATCTTGAGTTCTTGAAGCGCCCGACCCAGGACGTGAAGCAGATCAAGTCAGCGGACGATACTAGCAGGACAAGCTCACTGACGAGCGCAGCTGCTGAGGGGCAAAAGCAGATCGAGAGCGAGGGCAAGAAGGAGTACACCACGGTTGAGGGCATGCAAAGAAGTCAATTCTACTCCTAGGTGGGAAATGCTCGACTGGGTGGAACGTCAGGCCGGCCACGCAGGTACTACCTGACAACTCGCCGAACACAGCAATGCTGTAAAACATAGTCTTTTTCTTTTCTTTTCTTTTGTGGGATGCGGCAAGACGAGGCAAACATGTGGTTGTTCAAGCCACACGGCGTTTATTGTCATACATGGCGTTTTAATCATATACCTAGGGCCCTCTACTTTGGGCCTTATTATTCTGTATTTCTTCTCCCCAAGTGATAATGTCTGTATCCGCTGTACTTGCTTCAGATGTGAACTTTCAATGTCCAGAATACCGTGCTGAAATTTACACCCTTTTTATTTTACCAGCTGCCCAACCTTGAGGTTTGAGAGAGGATGCCGATGCTGGCAATCATATCTTCGTGGGCCTCAGCCCTCTGCTTCGTACGCATTTGACTTGTGCTTGGGCTGGAAGTTGAAGCCTGGGTGGACTGGTCCGAGGAACATCTCACTAAAAAGTAGTCAGCAAATCATGTATAACGCAGAACTGGCGGAATTAATTCAACACAGCGAAACCTTACCTGATCTTGATCCAGTCCTTGTAGTTGTTCGAAGCCATGAGGGTCTCGAGCTCGTTCCGGCCCTTGTAGGCCGGGGGCCGGTCGTTGAGGCTTGGGGGCAGGTGCTCCAGCAACCCGATGGGGACGTAGCGATGCGTGAAGCTGAGCCACTCCAGCAGGAACCGCCGCGTGAAGCCGATGCCCAGCTCGTCCGAGCTCCAGGCCTCGAGGCCGTAGCGGACGAACTTCTCAATGTACGTCAGGCGCTCGGTGGCGGACTTGTCGAGGTACTGGCCCTTCTCGATCTCCTCGAAGAGCCAGGGCTTGATGAGGGCGCCGCGGCCGATCATGACACTGTCGACGCCCGCGTTCTGGATGTGGTCTTGATAGTCTTCGTGGGAGAAGCAGTCGCCGTTTCCGAGGAAGTAGAGTCTCCCGTCCTTGGAGTTGGCCAGGGTGCTGGGGTCGGGCTCGGCGATGGTGTCCGTGAGGTCATCCTTCTCCTCGTTGTAGGACCTGATCAGGGCGGAACACTGCCCAATGAAGCCCCAGTCCGCCTTCTTGGTGTATCTCTGCTCGCGGCTGCGTCCGTGGAGCGTGATTGCCGCACAGCCCGGGGCTCCAAGACGTTCTCGGCGCTCAGAGCCACCGAAGGCGAGTCTGCTGATGACCTGGTTGGCCGTGGGGCGGTTGTTTCTGACACCAGTTCGAATCTTAGCCGTGATTGGTACCTCGCCCGATACGGCGTTCATGCCCCTGATCATGCGCTCGAGCTTGCCGGCGTTGTCGAGAAGGGCGGAGCCGCCGCCCGACTTGAAGACCATGTCGATGGGGCAGCCACAGTTGAGGTCGATGAGTCGCAGGTGGGGGCACCAGCGGCTCAGAGCGTCTGCCGACTTGACGGCGACCCAGGGGACGCTGGCAGATATCTGAGCGCCGAACTTGAGATCCTTTGCGTTGTCGTAGTTCTCGACGACGTAGCTCTTGCCGGGGTTGTACTTGGGAGGTGCGAGCTCTGACTTGTGCGCCTTCAGAAGGGCCCAGTCAGACTTTGTGCCTTGGATGAGGGGCATGCCCATTGCCATCTCTGAGTACGTGAGTTGGGCTCCAAGGTCGATACAGAGTCGGCGGAAGGGCAGGTTGCCCTGTGTGGTCAGCGGTGCCAAAGTGGGTGTTTCCGGGCCAAAGTAGATCCTCCTCTTCTCCGAGGCCTTGAACGGCGGGTCAACGAACGCAGCTCTCAACTCGGCCAGCTGCTCAGGGGTTTTATCCTTGGTGGCCTGGAAGAGCTTGTCGTTTGCCTTGGTCTCCTTGTTGAGCCATTCGATGTACTTCTCGGACCGGCTGAAATCAACTCGTTTCCGGTTGAGGTCGATCTTGTTCTGCATCGGAACAATGTTGAACACGTCGGCGCGTTGATCTTCGACATCCTCGCCCGCTTTCCCCTCCCCCGAGTCCTGTTTCGTGACATTGTCGATGAGAACCAGCTCTTTACGCCCATCCTCGTGCTCTACTTCGCGCATGTGGCTCTTGACGAATCGGCATTTCCAGCCAGCGGAGCATCGGCCATGCTGCTCGAAAATAGGGCATTTCCCGCCCAATGTTTCCACGTCTTCTCGTCGTCCCTCCGCAAGGTACTTGCGAAGATCGTGGGACTGGCGGCACCTATCGCCGAACCGACACTCACGAGGAGAGAATTCGGAATAGTAGGCTCTGCTGTTGCATAGGCGAATTGCATCATCAAAGTGGCCAAACGTGCGCTCCGTGTTCTGGCCGCGGTTCTTCTTCTTGTCTTTCCTGCCCTTGTTGCCTGAATCCCTGTCATCCTGGCGCTGGTGGCCTGCGCCCTCAGCAAGATCATCATCAGGCACCTCAGTTGGAGTCGCGTTGCTCATGTCAATGAGATATCTGTGAAAACCCGGTCTCAGCAACTGGTAACCGCATGTCATTATGCAAGGCTGGTCGTCTTGAGCTTACTCTTTTTTGACAGGTGCAACACCTTTTCTTACGTCTCTGTCATCTGGAGCCGAACTGGAGCCATTGGTCTTCTTCTCAACTTGGGTGTCCTTCTCTACGACTGGCTTTTCAGTCGGAGCTTCCTTGGCCAATCCCGAGCTGTCCACCTTCTGCCTCTTTGCAGCTCTCTCATCACCACCGTCTCCAGTGCGCGTGCTTGGGGCTTGGGACGCCGGAGCGGCACCTGTTTCAGCTGCAGCGCCGTTCATGTTGACATCCATGTCTTCAGCCGCCATTGTGCTTCACACGAAATCGCCCGGTAAAAAGAGCAGGATTATGGTGAGAGAGGTTGCAAGTAGGCTCTTCACCAAGCGATTCAAGCTTGACTATAAGTGAAAAATTGCCAGGGCCAATGACGGCGACTCCAATCCACAAATGAGTACTAGCGCGGGTTCGTAGACAAAGTACCTCGGACTCAGCAGCTTAATAAAAGTACCCGATGCTTCAAGCCTGGGTCGTCCTCTTTGTGACGATATGCTTTTTAAAAATAGCTTTTTTTCATAAAATTGTGCTCGGTTCTATGCTTTGGCACCAAATCCGCCTCAATTGCAACCATTGCCGCATTCTGCGGAACAGCTGTACTCGTACACGCTGTGCGCGATGGCAGAACCGCTAACTGGTCTAGCATCACGGCCCCGAAAGCTCCCTGCGGGCTGCGGGCCACCCCAACGGCCACTCTGTACCTTATCCAGCTTAATTAAGCTGTGCCTGGAGGAGAGCCAGATGCTAGCGCCCAGGCCCGCGACTGGGTGAGTGCCCAAGGTCCGAGGGGCAGACGTTCGCGCTACCATCATGCCATGTCCATTCTTACGCTGGGTTATACGGGTTCCTGGGAAATAAATGTCCAAGTAGTGCACGTACGTCGCTGCATTGACCTGCTCTGCTTTATCATTTACCGCCTCTGCCAGCTCGAAACTCAGCTCCGTGGGAACCCACACTCAACCCAGTCCGCTAGACACAAAGAGTGTTTCCTGCTTCTCCGCGCCCGCTGCCTGAGCTCAGCACACACTCCACCCTCCATCCCATTTTCTGCGCGGAGGGAATGAACAGCAGCTTGGGAGACTATGGCGGACTCGGCTAAGTCCGACGAAAGGCAGGGCGTCCCTGGCAAGGTCGTCCGCAGTCAAAAAATTGTTACCACTGCTTCACCGCCCATCGACAACACCGAAGATTCGGACGCATCGACCGACCAGGCGCCATTGCCGCGCAGCCATACACCTGGCCAACTTGCCAGCAAGGCCAAAGTCTACGAGCACCGCCGTCGCAATCCTTCAGAAGTCTCGAATCGGCAATGGTCGTCCCAGGCGGCAGCCCTACCCCCCCGCCCGGCCACCGCAGGCAACCCAGCAGCAAAGCCCTCCAGCTGGGGCAATGGCACCAGCACGAGCGAGGACCCCGACGATAAAGCAGAAAAGGTGCCGAGTGGGGGCAAACGGCAGGAGGCTTCTCGGTCGGCATCAGGCGTCTCGAACCACCAGTCTACCTCTTCCTTATCCCACCGAACCCAGAGCCAGCTCTCCCGCTTCCCGCTCATCCAAGGTCCCGACGACGCCCCAGACGTGGCCCCGGCCCCAGCTTCTGGCATGTACTGGTCCAAAGCCCTCGTCTCTGGGGGCCCGATACCATGCCTGCGGGCACATACCACTGCTCTGATCGGCTCCAACATATACGTTATTGGCGGGTGTGACGCTCGTGCGTGTTTCAACGAGGTCTATGTTCTCGACGCTGATTCATTCTACTGGTCTCGGCCGCACGTGGTTGGGGATATCCCGACGCCCCTGCGTGCAATGACCTGCACGGCTGTAGGCAAGAAGCTCGTGGTCTTTGGAGGCGGGGACGGCCCCGCCTACTACAACGATGTTTACGTGCTGGACACTGTGAATTTCAAGTGGACCAAACCACGCATTGCAGGCGAAAAGAAGCCCTCCAAACGCCGAGCCCACACGGCATGCTTCTACAAGAACGGCATCTATGTGTTCGGCGGCGGTGACGGCGTGAGAGCCCTCAACGACATATGGCGCCTAGATGTCTCTGACATGACCAAGATGTCTTGGAGCTTGGTATCTGGCACCGACAAAAAGGGTTCCGTGGAGCCCAAGCCCAAGGCTCGTGGCTATCACACGGCTAATATGGTGGGTTCAAAGCTTATCATCTTTGGCGGCTCCGATGGCGGCGAGTGCTTCGACGACGTCTGGGTCTACGATGTGGAGGCACATTTCTGGAAGGTGGTCACGATACCACTCAACTACCGGCGCCTCTCGCACACTGCCACTATTGTGGGCTCATACTTGTTCGTCATAGGCGGGCATGATGGGAGCGAGTACTCAAACGACGTGCTGCTGCTCAATCTCGTCACGATGACCTGGGACAAACGCAAGACCTACGGGAAGCCCCCGTGCGGAAGGGGGTACCACGGCGCCATTCTTTACGACAGCAGGTTGGTGGTTATTGGGGGTTTCGACGGGAGCGAGGTGTTCAAAGATGTCATGATTTTAGAGCTGGCCGTACACGCGTATTACTCCCAAATCAGCCATTTTACAATCGAGGTGTGAGGCGGCCTAGAGGAGTTTGGTTTTTTCTTTCTTCTTTTCTTTCAGGAGTCTGGTTGCTACGCAGGATAAAATGGATGGCCGGGTCAAGCGAGAGCGTCTGTTCCTCATGTTGATATCATTGTGATTTGTATTCTATATTTTCGGTTCTCTTTTATTGGGCCTCTGGTTTCCGGGGCCTCCCGAAACAACCCTAGCTATGGAGATGGGCATGATGCATGCCTACAGATGAGATGAGACGAACTCAAACGATACCAAAAAAATTTATGTTAAAGCTGTGATATTTTTGTTCTTCTTCTTTATTTTCGCTAGGCGAGTAATTTATTACGTATGAGTACAAAAATCTATCGATCAATGTCAGAAAACACCGTCAACTCATCGTGAATATCCAACATGATCCATGCTTTTGGGTTCAATCGCAATCCGCTCCGGCCCCAAAACGCCCTTGTACAATAGCAGAAATCCAACAGTGAAAATGCACGACTGGTAAACAAAGAGGAGCAGTCCTAGGTATATGATGCAGCGGTTTTTTATGTTCTGTTTCCATGGGCGCAATGTATTAAATCAACGTGGCGCAACCGAGGCTCTATGCCTTGTTCTGGGCCTTGTGTGCCAGCCGCCTCTCCTCGGCCTCAACCATATCTATAGATGCCACTGTTAGCAAAAAGATCATATTTACAACGAATTGGCCAGTGGGGTCAAAAAAAACTTACCCTTCCAGAGATCTTGTCCCTCGTACTCCTCCTTGTGGATCTTCTTCTCAATGATCCTCTTGTGCTCAGGGTCGTTGGGGTCAAGGACCTTGATGGTCTTCCAGCGGCTGTCGCCGTTGGCGGCGTCGTTCATCTCGAAGGCGGCGGAGACGATGAGCACGACGAGCGCCAGGCCCTGCGCGTACACACGGGCCTGGACGAGCTTCTGGCTGGTGCTCATGGGCGCCCTGTTGACGATGGCCAGGGCGAGGGCCATGCTGGCCATCCACGAGGCGAAGACGATCTTGTAGCGGTTCTCGTTGCCCCACTCCATGAACTGCTCGTACCTCGAGTTGTTCTGGCGGATGATCTCGGCGGCGCGCTGGCTCGAGTCCTGGTAGAAGTTCATGGGGTTCTGGGCGCGCTGGAACTCGGTGGAGGCGCTCTCGGCCTTGATGACGAAGCCAAAGGTTCCCGCCGAGGTGACGAGGAAGGCGCGGAAGGGCAGCGTGAGGTTGCGGATGAGGGCGTAGCGGCGCTGGCCGGCGAGGACGCCGACGAAGCCAACGGCGAGGCCTGCCGTGCCACCGATCAGCCCGCCCCTGACGACGGCGGCGTTGTGGGCCTTGGCCTCCTCGGGGGTGATGACCTTCATGTCGTTGAGTTGTTTATGTCGTGTAGTGGGAGAAGCGAATTGAGGGTTGGTCGCGTGTCGAGTGCGACGGGAAGTAAAGTCGGAGATATATATTCAGTTTCTATATTACACTCCGAGCCGTCTTCGGCTTGCGAGTACCGGACGGTCGAAGAGGATGGGTCGGTCGTTCCGGGGTATCCTTCGGATCGTACGATCGATTGGCTTTGCGAGGGTCGCGATAGGCGGGGGTCGCAGTTTTTTCGTTGACAGAGTGAAATGGGATTGAAGGTGTAGTTGGTTGTGTGCCAAGATTGTAGGTATTAAATCTATTGGTATGAGAGTCTGAAGATATTAGTTCCAACCTCAGGTTTGAAACTAGGAGCCGGGCGAGTCGTTAAAAAGGTCGTTGCTTTGTTCTCCAAGCATGATCAAATTATTACCATCACTGGCATGATGCAATGCAACATGCGGCGACCTCCAGCTGCGGCGTGTTTGCCCGACTCCTCCCGCCCCGGCCACAACCCGAGAAATTGCCGCACCATCACCGAAGCCCGCTGTATCACCCTGATTTACGGCATGCGGATGGCACTCGGCCTTCGTCTCCAGGTGGTTTCTTTCTGATGAATGGTCGGCTCCGTCCGGAAGGGAAATACTCTTCTTTTAGCTATCCTAAGATTCCTCATTCTGCCGTCTCGCAAAAGGCGAGGAATACCGATATCTCGGGATGGTATGCAAGCGTGGCTTGATTCTTCCATCACCGCAAACCTAGGCTACCTCGTTGGAATGTGTGCCGAATTATGCCTACCCTATACCTGCCCTTTATCTGCTTTCATTCCGCTCGTCCGTCCAATTGCTACATGCAGGAATCACACTGTGGTAATTCATCTGTAGGAATTGGCGGTGGTGGTTTGTCTACTTACTTGTGTGCCCATAGATTAACGTGTTTGGACGTGATCAATTTATTAGGATCGCCTGTAAGAATATCTGAAAGATTGTGGGGAGAACAAATTGTTCTTGACATCGACCCAAGAGCCAAATGTAGAAATGTATCACGTTTCACAAACCTGCATGTACCTGAAAGAGAAGGTGTCACATCCAAGCTTCTCGAAGAAATCGCTGCATGAACGATGCGACGATTCCCGCCGTGCTGTGACTGGGCTGTCGCATGTTCCGCCTTCTGCATTGTCGCAACTGCTGCTTGCGGCAGTTGCGGCGAGCTGCGGCGAAGGTGGGGTGGAGCGAACAAAGGTGGTCTGCTTTTCAGGTCATCCAAAAAGCGAGCAAATTATTTAATCGCGATTACTCAGTGGGAAAAATGCAAGGCTGGAGGCTTCTACAACGCTTCCTCGGGACCTGCGCCTGATGATTCACCACCAGAGTCATTGCTACGTCAGTCTCCCAGCGCCGACCCCATCTCGGAGCACCCGGCCGTTGAATTCGACATGCGGACGCCCCTGTTCGGCTGGAAATCCGGAAATCTAGGGTCTTCATACCGCTAAGCCCTCCCACAATTTAGAGCAGCTGGCTTAATTACGCTCGCCCGCTTGGCGCGAGGCGGACTCAAGCCAAGCGCGAATTGGGCGGCAGGTCGTTGCGCGCGTGGCAGCCAGCTGCACGCCGAGGCCTCGGGCCAGAGCTTGGATCATTCGGAACATGGCAGTTCACGGAAGCGCAGTTCCGGAGCAAGCTCCCTTCCTGCTGCAAGATGTGCGAAATCATTCTCCGAGGGGCAGGAGAACCACGTCATTTCCCTGTGCTAGACTCCATTCATTCGTCCTCCGTGATGATCTGGCCTTCTCCAGTTAAAAATTTGGATCTGGAGTGGCTGGCCTTGTGTGAGCCCGAACGGAGGCCGACAATCCAGGCTGACAGTATTTCGCTCGCCTCTCATTGGACAGCCGCCTGCTAATTGAGCAGCAATTGTGCAGCACCAAGGAAGAGCTTCCAGAACATTTCAGTGGGGGCGCACAGGATGGCAGGATGGGGAACGGACCTTTGGAGTCTTGGAGAGGACCCTTGCCACCTTTGCCTCTCAGCCTTGGTGCATCTCGTGAGCAACTGCCGCCCCGTGACTGTCTCGCAGCGATACCGGACCGGGCTTACACACGCGTATGAAATCATATGTAATCCTCGCCTGGTCCTTCGGCCGTCGTCTGGCTTGGCCGTCGATACTTGGCTCCCCAAGGGGAAGCGTGCACCGAGCCTTGTGAATGCTGGAGCTGTGACAGTGACTGTGAGTCAGGGAATATGCCGGCCAGGGATTGTGGGCCCACCCAGTACATCTGGGCTACTTCAGGTACATGCACTGACCAACTCCAATCGCATTTGAACCAGGCTCCTTGGTATTGTTGCCTGGCAGGTACTCCCATCTACCTGTTCGCCTCCTCACGGCCCGCGCACCTGCAGCAGGTTAACCGGACCGACTTTGGAGAATGGCATCCATGGCTGTATATGAATATATAAAAATATCCATCTTCGAGATAGACTTCGGGGACACCGGCGAGCTTCTTGCGAGCGCTCATCCTCATCACACCGCCGCTCAATCGATATACTGGGTTCCCTTAGCTTGCTGGTTCCATTTTAGTTCGTATTGCCCTTCCCTAAGAATAATAGTACACCGCCAGCGCGGCATCGTTAGTGGGAAGGCTCCCGAAAACAGCGTTATAAAGAAAGAGGGCCAGCCGCATTACATCCAATTGCGCTGTAGCGGGATGGAACCTCAAGTGGAGGCGTATGTAATTGAAGTCTATGCACCTTGCGAGGCCAGAAGCTTCGCTTGGAGTTTGGCTTGTGACCTAGTTCCTGGAGGAGGGATGTGTTGGCACGGGCTATTGTAGACTCAAGACGGCAAGCACAAGCCATTCTCTGGATCAAGTCAGGATGAGGAGACCGGCCCGGTTAGTTGAGTCGTGGTATTCGGGGAGATAGCCACGACAAGCTCTCCTGGGGTCCGTGACGTCGCCCCATGGATCTAGCGCTTTGGGTTGGAGCCCCCGGTGGCATGGCTCTGGCAATTGAAATGCCTATTGGAGAAGATTGTTGGCCAATGCCAGGGGAGATCTGGCGGTGTCAGGGGAGAACGATGGTCATGCGAACAAAGCATGGAACATGGGCCAAGAGGCGATTCATCACCTCCTGACATACCTTTTTAGAATCGCTGCAAATAAACTACCTACCTCGCGACGATCCACGGAGACCCGAAAAATGCTGATGTGGGTTTTCCTCTCCAGGTCAGCGGGGAACTGGTACGTTCTTTGGTGTTGTGGCTAAATTGTCAGGCGACCTGTGGACATGGATCGTGCTTGTTGTCTCGTTGTTTACTCTATATGCTCTTGACGCCCTTTGGCCCCCGGCAGTGACAGGAGTCGCAGATAGACCCGAGGTTAAGCGCTGGTGGCTTGTTGGGGAGAGCAAACCGACGAGGAGTCCGAACCGCTTTGACCAGCTTTGCCTCTTTGATAATTGAGAGGATGACATCAGTCAATCGCTCAGCAAAGCCTGGGGCAGCCGCTGTATGCCACCCCTGCGCCTAGGTAGTAGATAGTGGTCTATGCCGGTAGGTGGTTGACAGCCTGGATAATGTAGCTTGATCCCATCTTATCTGAGCCTTGTATAGGTCAAGGCTTCCATGTGCTCGCTCCACTGCTAACGAAGAAGTATTGTGTGGAACATGCTGTTCCCCATAACTTGGACGAGAGGCGATGAGTTCGGAGAAAAACCTTAGTCTGTGAAACTGGTTCATCAGGCACCGCACGAGCAGCGAAGCAAGCCTGCAATTATTACAAGCTAGCTTTTCTTGGAACTGTACAATGTGAGGCTGCCACTCATTTTGACCTCGGGTAATTCTGATAGTTGAAGGAGGGCAGAGGTACCGACAGGTACCTGGTAATATCCAAGTGTATTATTAGGATGAATCATCATGGCAGTGGGAAGAGGCAACTTTGCTGGGTTACCCCAATTTCACATGGGAAAGTTGGATTCAGTTCTCATATGCGATCATCTCGTACATACTATGTAGTACGCAGGTAATTTGCGGCCGAGCTAAACTTGACCGCGATCCATCTGAAATGGGTCTGCAGCCGAGTGTCCCCTTTTCTCTCACCCGCTGGAGCTGCATTGACGACACCACTCTTGCTGCAGCCCCGAGCTCAAAACAAGGGGAGGTGCATGATGATTGCATGATTTGCATCCGGCTAGCTGCTAGAGCAGGCCAACCGACTTACACCAATCCGCGCGACTTTTCTGCAGCCATCTCTAGCTGCAAGGCCGAAACATGCAGCCAGCCTGCTCGTGAGGAACGGCTGCAAGATTGAGAAAGAGGGAGGTGGTACCGGGCACAGGCGGCTGCAAAGAATGCGTGCAAGGAGCCGGATGCATGGCTGAGCCTGCATGGAGGCCACCCGCTCCCGCACTCAGCTGGTGTTTGTCCCTTGTTGCATCCATACTAGCTATTAAGTATATAGTTGTGTTAAGAAGAGGTTTCGATAGAGGTGAATTGGGGTGGTGTCGGCAAAGTAATTTTGGGGGCGTTGAGGCAGGACAGCGTCAAAGTACCCGTCGGTTCCCCTCGGTTCTCAATCGTGAAAGGCTACCTCAGCCCGGCTGGTACTAGGAAGGTCACTCCCATGTGGCAGTTGAGAGTAGCAGGCACAAGCCGTGCTAGTCGCCGTGCTAGTTTGACTCATTCACTCACTCCTAATATGCACAATGTTGGCGCTCTCACGCCGTTGGCCAGTAGAATGGCTATCGCGGGCTCGTTCGAGACGAGACGACGTGGCATTTGCTGGTCTGTCTCTGGGTTGGCCTATTTTTACTCGTCCAGAGCTGGCACCTGGCGCTGGCTTGGTGGCTGGTTGTCTCATTCCCACATCCTCGTCCACATTCTCTTGGTCGAATCGGCACTCACTCCTTGCGCATTATGTACAAAGTTATCCCATCCCAAGCAGGCAGGTAGAGATCAGCCGACGACAGCCCCAGAGGCAGAGCAGAGTACCGGCAAGGTACCTACCAGGCAATCCCTA